AGACTCTTTGTGCTGGGAGGGTTCGAGGATCCTACCGTTTTTGATCTGACTCATTGAAACCCCCGAGGGCCTCTGCCTGATCAAAGCACCAGCCCCCCCCAACAAAAAGGCAGGGGGCGGCCAACAGACCGGCGAAACCTGCACAAAAGCTGGGCGATGGTGTCTCTCTAACATCTGCTTTCCTCTGACCAGCTACACAACTAGGTCCTCCAGATTTGGAGCTTAGAATAAGGGTACCGATTCTTTTTTCTGTAGTCTATCTTAGTAGGGGAACCCTCCCTTTAGTAGGGGAACCCTCCCCCGAAAAGGGTAAAGGGGCACTACTGGGGGACCTAGACACAAAGAAGAGCACCTCACTTTGCTTTAAAGTACCCCACCTGAGCTACTTCTCTAGTCCCACCCAACGCACCGGAATGAGCAAGGCCAGCAAGACTTGCTCTCCTTTCCTGAGAATTCAAGTCTTAGGTGCTAATGGGCAGCCTCCTTTGAATCCATCTATTTGGTCAAGTGCCCTGGAAACAATCATATTACCAGTAGTGATAGATTCCCTTCAAAATCAACAGGGGAAATAAACCAAATGGAACATCTGGGCTAGGTACCACAATTAAGGGCCATGACTCCCTCCAATGCGGACCCTAACTGCCAATGGACAACCTCGCCTAAGAGAGGCGGTCAGTCGAAAACATCAATTTTGAGAACGCTAAAACCCCTACACACAGCACCTTTCGCGAAGTGTAATTGCGCAGTGAAATAATGTTGAGTAATAACACATACATGTACATTATATATGCTACATATGTGTAGCTGCGTGTGTGGATATTACATATGTATAGGAGTCGGTGTGCCTCTATATTTCTAGATGTGTAAGTGTATACGTTGTACGGCCACACATATCACTAGAACTAACCCTCAACTCAACTGATACCCGGGGCATGCGGAGCGAAGGGGAAAGCTGCCAATCACACCTTGGCAGCGCCGTCCGCTGAACTGGGCCTAAACCTGAACCATACTCAAGCCCCGGTAGCCATGCTGGGCAAAAAACATCGCAGCCACTGGTTGTCTGACAAGGGGCGAATTGCACCGGAGATGAGGAACCCTCCAAGCTGCAGTTGCCCGGCCCACTTAGTTCCTAGGTCATAAGGATGGTTGTAAGTGAAGTAAGTTTAGTTGGTTGAATAACCATGGTCATAACCTATATTTTGGGGAAGTTGAACATCCAAGCATCGGGACGCGAGGGAAGCTAAGGGGCATGCAACCACATCATGAGACCAAAGCACCAGACAAGTGGCGCAGAACACGAGCCACAAAGTGCTGACATCTTGTGCCTGATAACGGAAGACACCGGAACAGCCCAAAACAACCAAATTGCTTTACTTCACCTGGACGGCGGATTCATAGGGATTCAGGCTTTCCATGGCTTTCCTCAAAGTCAAGCATCCCCTCCAAAATGGATAGCGCCACCCCCAACCACATTCAACCAGGCGTTTATGACTCAACTGGCTCACATAATCACCAGAGCAGGTGGAAAAGGCAACATGTGAAATCAATATGAAGGAAAGACCAACAGTGCAGTTTATTTGTGTCATATAGATATATACGTTTACACTGTAAAATTCTCACTTCCTCTGTGGGATCGGCCAAACACAAGCTGTCCTGTTTTTACCACTCGAATTGGTCTGGCCAAAAAGTGGCTACACCGTGGCTGAGGCCAACCGGTCCCCAAGCGGGACTCAACGAAGGACACCATGGCACAGTCAAGAGCTAAGATTCGATCGCCCGCGTTCACTTCCTGTCAGAAGGGCTGCGGTTGAACCAGCATCAACGAATCTGTGATACAAAAAGTTGGCACGAAGACACTACCCCCCCCCATACAAAACGGGCAAACCCCAAAGACATTTTCCCCCCCATAAGGGGGAGATTCCCAAAGTATCACAGAAGTGGTTGGATATAGAGCTATACCCCGAGTGATCAACCACAGTTCCGGGTCGGACGGCCCGGCTACGAAAAGGAAATGAAAAGGAGTGTGCACCCATTTATGGTTGGGATCATCCCTAATACGCGGGTGTTGATTGTGGCTCGGATGGGCAACTCGTTTTGATCGGGGATTCTGCCATGAAGTGGAGTCAACCTTGCGGGTAACCAAGGATACGGTGGATGCCCCAAATATTGCAAGTCAGGGAACCAGGAAACCCTCGAACTTATTGCAATTCATTGTGGTTGTGTGGCGTACGGCTGGGTTTACTGGCAATATAGCAGGGCATCGACTGTACCAACCGAAGGGGTTCTTCCAGCCCATAAGCCCACCCAACCCCACGCAAGAAGATCGGCCGGAGGTCTTCAGACGGATTGAGGTGGCCCTCCTACCCAAATGAAATGGACTCCATCGAAAAAAGAACGGGCAGACTCGATTGCTCTCGACCCGGAGCCCCTCTTGGGTAGGGCAGGGTTGGTGGGATGCTTGCAAAACCAAATTGAAACGAGACCAAAAGAACATCATTTACTCACCTCCGATGGAGTGGATCAAGTCCAGAAACTTGGGGCGTAAGTTGGTCAAGACCCCGACAGCGAAACCCAGGGCCAATCTACTTAGGTTTCCGTTGGTCAGCTTGAGACTCGCTCATAAAAAACCCCGAACTGCAGGGCAGAAGGGGTAAGACCGCAAGACCCTCTCGCCCTGAAAGGCCTGAAACAACGGTTTGTCGTAATGATGCCTTGCCACCAACAGACATGAAACTGCACAAACACCCCTTTTGATCAACTTTCCCTTACAGGGGAACAGGGGTTCTGTGCACTTCCATGTTTGTTGGGTCATTCCGATAACCCGAACAACCAAATGACTAGGGCGCTATCCCTGAGACGATGCTTCCGGCCGGATCTGCACAAGAAATCAAGCCGGAGGAACCCCATTGGAGGACTTTTTTGGGATGTGGTTCTGCTGAAACAAAAAACAAAGAGCGTGGTCATTCCCTCGACTCGCTCGAACATCGGCGCATCGAATCGAATCGACGAAGCCCGCGTGGGACGACATTTGGGTGTGGGTCAATATTCTGGTGTGGAACGTTCCGCGGTGACGCGGACGTCTGGAACGAGTCAGTTACGCAAGGTCGCTTGTTCCGGACCTCTGGGAGGACATGCGTGGAGTCCTCAAGCGCACGTTCATTTAGTGTAAGATGGATAGATGGATCACGTAAGAAGCGCAGCTACTTACATGGCGCGTGTGTGTGCATGTGGACTTGGTGGCAAATTGCTCCGCTGCGTCTGGAACACGTCTGGAACGGGTCTGGAACGGGGTCTGGAACGGTTACGCGAGTGGCTCGCACTTTGGAATGCTAGCAAGCCGCATGTAAACATGGTCGTTTCAACCGAGAACGGTATCGAACCGTTACCGTATCGTATCGAAAGCGGCGGAATTGTATCGCACCGAACCGAATTAAAGTTCCGGAACACCGATACTCCTTTCTTCATTTCTTTCTCCTTCTTTCTTGCTCCTTTGCTCCTTCTTTCTTGCTCCACGCCATTTCAGCCTTGGCCATTGCACTTGCACACCCGACCAAGAACGACCATCTGAATCAATACTCTAGAAATAAATATACATAAACAAGGTCTGGAACGGAAGGTCTGGAACATGTTTCTAGGCAAGGTCTGGAACGGAGGTCTGGAACGTAGGTCTGGATCGCATGTGGGTTCCGGACCCTGTTCCGGACCTTATAAATTGACTCGCAGCCATTTGTTCTCACATGCGGGCATGTGGGTCTGCCTGTGTTGGTTGGTTTTAAAGGGAAAGCACAAGGAAACCAACCACTTTAAGACGAACCCATGTCTCACTTGCCCCATGTGCGTCGGCCAACTCGAATCTTGGTTTCAAGCGTCCTGGGATTCAGGCAGGCCATCACGAAAACAATGCTTGGGTTCATATATTATATAGCCACCCATGATTTACCTAAGGAGTGTCATGATCCAAATTGAGTCAACCCTTCTTTTAATGGGGATTGAATGCTAGGGTTCTTCTCTTCTCGAATCCTGATTTTGGATTGAACCCCGCTCTTCCAATGAGTGGGGGGGAGTTCTTATGAGGTCGTAAAGGGCAAATATTCGACATATTTCAAAAGGTGATCGATTGAGAGGGACCCGGGCGAGCCACGAATTCTTAAGCATTAAATCGTCCTTTACGGTAGACCAAAGGAAGTAACGACATGCTGGGGCGTGCTCCAACCATTAGTGTCCTTCAAACAGAGGGGAAGCAACCTTTACAGTATATATGAGGTATACAAGCGGTATGAAAGGGCATACCTGGACCCTCAGAGCCTCAGCATTCCCTTTAACATGTGTTATTGCCCCAACACTATGGTTGGTGAATTCCCGTTCTTATGGGTGGTTTGAGGGTTCAGGTATACAAGCGGTATGGGTATATACTTGGGGGATGTAGTTGGAGTAGCTGCTCCGAGCAAAAAAAAACACGGGGTCAGAAAATGAACCAAGTACCATTTCAAAGCTTTGCTTTCTGTTGAGGACAATACCTTTTCGTTCGAGCTATTTAGCACCCTAATATATGTTCAGTTTTGTATACGCACACACATATATGTCTTGACAGTTCATTGACGGCCTGCTTTAAAATAACAGTATTTAGTAGGAAATTCAGGCTGAATTTCAATTAGGGACCCTTTGGTGGACTTTCATTTAGGTGGGGATAAAGTGGTTCTAATTATCAACCACTGTGGAGGGGGTTCCCTATTGAAATTCATGTGGCTGTGGCCCAAAACACCGGAATTCCACAATGGGTTGCCCGATCGGTAAGTGGAAACATGGAAACCAACACCTGCGGTTTGCCCGCCCCTCCGATAGTTTGATTTTGAGAACCACACCCATGTGTCGTCAATCCCCGCTCAACCCACTTCCTGAGTTGGGCCAACAAAAAGTGACCAAACTTTCTGGTCACCACTAAAATGGCCCAAACCCCAAAAGTGACTAAAGTCCAGGAACTCGGGGAGTGAGTCAAAGCTTTAAAGGCCCATGGGAAGCGGCTCGCGGCCGTGCCTTCGTAGGAGCTCATCCAAGGCCTGGAGTCGCGCGCATTCGCGAGGTGCCCGTCTCCGTGTCCGTGTCCGGGTCCGTTAAGCCGGGAAAAGCCACTAGGGGTTTAAACCAGCAGGAGCCATCTCTGACAAAAAGTGAACTCACCCATTCCATCATTAGCCACATTTTTAAGTTGACATTTTCAAGGTCCGGGTATATATATATATACCTGGATCTTCCACTCTGAAAAAGCAGCTGCCTTTGGCTGATGGTCCTTTTTCAACCAAGAGCAGCATCTAGAAGGAACTTGTTTTGCGGGCCCTTGGAAGACCAAGGCATGTTACACCAATTTCATTCCGCTTGACCAGCGACCCTGGTAGACTTTGGATCTCAAACAGAATACCTGGAGTTGTCTTTTTGTCCCTTAAAAAATGGGCTGGGTCATCACCCGCCCCCAAATGTGTGTGTGTGTGTGTCTGAAAAATAGGAGGGACCGCCATGACCTTTTGGACAGGTAGACGGGTTTGCCTGGTGTAACCTATCAAGTGAACATCCAAGTAGATCCAGGCATTTGAGCTCACAGAAAACTAGGGAAAAAACGAAGTCATCGTGATGTAGGAAAATTGCCCGCGCCTTGATGTGATGATCCTCTACATCAAGGAGTTGCACATCCAGGTCACCGGGGGCGAGGACCTCAATGGATTCGGTCTCAGCGGTGGCTGGCCTTCGGAGTTGTTTTTCTCCAAAGGTGGGACACACAAAATAACTTGCTGGTGAGATAGGCTGAGATAGGCAGGGAATGAGAATTGGAATGACCCCTGTACACCTTCTCGTTTCCTTTGGCGAAGGATGCAAATAAACAGGAAATGAGTTGGAATGACCCCTGTAAACCTTGTCGTGTCCTTTCAGGAAGGATGCAAATAGGCAGGGAGTAAGAAAAGGAATGACCCCTACCCATCCTGGTCGTTTTTGGGGGATGCCTGGGCTGATTCCAATTCTCATTCCCTACCTATCGCACCAGCAAGATAAAGGGGTACACTCCCACAAATTGGGGGGGTGCCTTCAAAAAGAAACTGGTCTTTCAGGTTAATTGGTGGGATGGTACCTGGGCACTCAAACTACCCAGAAAATGGCAAGGAAACTCACCAAATAACCAGAAGTGTGAGTTGCAATTTGCTCCCCAATAAGGCTGATCAAGAAAATGTGGGGCCCGCCAAATTCAAACTTATAAATTGGGTATTGCCCGTTTATTCATGGGTGGTTCTTCTGTCCAGGTGCACAGGCGGGACTTCTCATCAGGGCGCGGTGAATTTGTCCACCAACCACCTCCGCCATGGCATTTGTTCATCCCCTGAAATCCCATCCAAGATGCCCCTGATTCTCCTGTGGCTTGCCTTTTTAGATCTGCTGCGGGGCTCTTGAAAAAGGTCTGCCGAGTCCCTTCAGCCCATCCAAAACCACGTCAAACAAAATCTGGAACCTCCGCTCCTGAACCTGCCGTTTTAAAGGTTAGACTCTTGCAAGACTGCTTCGATGTTCCCTTCGGCTTCCAAAGCAACCATAAAACAGCGAATGCCCGCAGCAAAGACAACCTCGTGTGAAACAAAAATCTGGCTGTGGCTCAAGTACATCTGCCACAAGCCATGGACAGCTGGATTCCCTTGCTCCCATGAAGTCCGCAACTCCACCCCCCCCTCCCCACCCCACCCCGCCCCGCCCCACCCCACCCCACCCCGCCCCACCCCACCCCACCCCACCCCAGCCCAGCCCAGCCCAGCCCTCCTGACCCCCCAACGGCAGTGGGTTGCTGGGTACGGGCCACTGCCCATAGGCACCCGCACAATGTTGGGCAGCCAGGTGGTAATCTGCCGCAGCCTGAGCGAAACCACGCCTTTGAAGCGTCCCCAAAACAGACAGGCCTTCAGATTCAGCCAGTTTCTCACGGCTGGCAACCCAAAACTAGTCCAAGCAAGTTGTTTCCCATATAAAATTAAGCTGTTGGCGTTTTTGTTCTCCGGAACCTCCAAATGAGTGGATTGAAAGGGACACCAAAAGGAATCCAAACCATTAGGGCGGTCCCCATGTTGAGACAAACCCGAGTGTGTGTGTGTGTGTGGATTTTGGGACACCCCCTTGTTGGCTGCATTTAACGAGACGTGGCAAAACAGGGTGTATACTTGATCTTTCTTTCATTTTTTTGGGGGGGAGTCCCCTCATTTTGAGACAAACACATATTCATTCGCAAGAGTGCCCTTCGCAAAGGGTCTCTTTTTGATCACATGATGAGTTGTGATAAAAAGGGGCGATGCTGATGCTTGCAAAAAAAGCAACAAAAAGCTTCACCAGCCCTGCATTAAGTGGGCGAATTGCAACCCACCTGGACCTGTTCCGACTTCAAAACAGGGGCAAATGGGTGTGGCTCAAAATTAAACAGGAGGGGCAAACCGCAGGTTTTGGTCCATGTTTCCACTTACCAGGGCAACCCATTTTGGAATTCCGTTTTTCTAAAGCCACAGCCAAATTGCAACCCGCAAGTGGGGTGAATTCCAACCTCCCAGTTGGCTTTTTGCGGCTGGCGCGTTTTTCATCGCAGCGCATCCCAGGTCTAAACTGGGCTAAACACAGACGTGCTGAAAAAAAACGGACCTAAACACCGACCAAACAAACACCCCCCCCCTTCCTTTTCCGGGACGACCCGGCCTAACCGCATCCGAAAAGACGTTACCAATGCATCCAACCGATCTATTATTCCTCTTTCTTTTTTGTTGCTGCTGTGTGTTGTTGCTCTGCGTTGCAATGGTCAATTTTTGTCCTGGCACTGCTGTTGATTCGTTGCTTCACGGTCTTGTTTGACACCATTTCAACTGGTGAAGGCAAACCAAAAGGGAAACCAACGACTGTCGGTCCCGGAAACTTCTTGTTGGGGACCGTCATTCGCTTCCACAAATGCCCCCCCTCCCTACTGTGGATGGACGAAATCTTGCACCACCTAAGAAACCCTGGAATGATGATTCCCCTGTAAATAACAACAACAAATGGTTTCAACCATGGCTTCAAAGTGGTGCGAAATGGATTTCGCAACCATCCACAGTATTCAACGCGTATCATTCTTCTTGGTCCCCAGAAAGAAGAGCCAAGCGTGGCTTTTGGCATGGCCGGGCGCCGCACTCGAGTGGCTGTGGCGAATTCATAAAACCGGAATTCCACAATGGGTTGCCCGATCGGTAAGTGGACACATGGAACCCAAAACCTACGAAACATGGCAACATGGAAACCAACGCAAGGAGAAAATATGGAAAAACCAACACCCGCGGTTTGCCTTTTGCTCCCCTCCGATCCTTGAATGTTGAGCCACACCCAAGTCTCTCAGCGGCCGAGGGCCGTGCTGTGTGGTGAGCTCCTCCGTGGTCGGCTTCTCCTGGCACGCGATCTTGGAGCTAGCTCCGGAGGGCGAGTTCGAGAGCGAGATGCTCGAGGGCCACAAACGTACAGCCATACAAAACCCATAAACCTGCTGCCATAGACAACCCATACAAAACCCGTATACAAAATAAACCCGTACGTGTGCATGCTTTTCGTAAAGCCGCGGGGTTTCTCCCGACGCACCCCGGTTATTTCGAGAACCTTCAAATAAAAGTGTGCCCTTTCCAGCAAATTCAAAAAATGGAAAGCCACCATTTGTTAGGTATCTCTATGTTAGGCACATACCCGTAGCCCAAATAGAGCTGGAGTGGGACCAAAAGACCCGTGGCTGATCAATACCGTGGATGGACGAAATCCTGCACCACCTAAGAACCCCGGGACACCATCGTTTATTGGTATTTCCGTTGGGGAATAATCATAGCGTTGGATTTCTCCGCGGTGGCACGAAATGGATCTTCAGAGAAGTTTCACTTTTTGCGGAATGCATCCGGCTGGCTTCAGCGATTGTCTACCCTAAGGCTTGCCTTCGACAATTGGCTTGAATCACCTGAGTCACAATCAAAACCCGGTATTAAAATGGTTGACCCTGAACTAAGGAGGCGGCAGCAGCTATTTATGGTTGGGATTTTCCCTTACTAACCTTTATCTACCCAGGCTATGATTGTGGCTCACCTGACTTTTGACGGTGTCAAGCTCCTTGGCAACACTCGAACTCCCAGTTTCCCACACAAGTGGCACCCAGGCTGAGCAGTGTGCAGAAGGAAAGCCTGAACTCCGCCTTTAAAATTGTCCACAGGCTATATCTCACTTCCGATCGATTCGATTGGCCAAACAAGTCTGATAGTTGGGGTTCAAACCACCATTAAAACAATGGGTTTCATATAACCACCATTATTTCCCTAAGGATTGTCATCCTCCAAATTGGGTCAACCTTTGTGTTACTGGGGGCAAGGAACCCCAGGGTGAGTTCCAAGTACTCCAGCGACTCTTGAGTCCGAAACGGTACCCGGCGGCTACCGGCTACCCCGAAATGGCGATGGCGAATTCCATTCTCACTTCCTGAGCTGATGGGCCAAAAGTGACCAAACTTTCTGCTCACCACTAAAATGGAACCCGAAAAGTCTGAAGCCCAGCTCGGGGAGTGAGAAATTCTCGTGGGTAGCTTGAGGGTCCAGGAAGATTAGAAGGACCACCTTGGGTTGCACCTTCCGAGAAAGAGTGGTCGGGGAAACCCGGACACCTCCTTGTCCTGGAAGAAAAAAAAGCTAAATTGGGTCAACCCTTGTTTTAATGGGGGCAAGGAACTCCAGAATGGCTGGCTCTGGACTGAAGCCTTGGTAGCAACATGGCATGTGTCGTGCAGCCCCTAAAACTGAATAAGTGCATGAAAAACCCAGCACCCGACAACCCCAAACGAGTTAGACAATGAGGGCTAAACAAGGGGGCCTACAAAGCTCTACAAACGTATTCGGAGGAAAATAAAACCAAATAAGGCTTAACGATTGGAGAGTCTTTTGGGGCAGGGAGGGGCGGGGGAGAAGTAGAGTCTGGCAAAAGTAAACAAAGCCCATATGTTGCACTCCTTTCGGAAAATAAGCATCTTTGCCAAGCAAAGCGCCAGTAAAGTTCATTATGCGTTGTTTGGCCCCACGAAGAACTCAAGCCTCCTCTCACTGACCATTTTGTACAAGGAACTCCGGGAGTGCATCCACGAAAGGGGCAGTGCACTTCTCGGAGTTAAAGCTTTGCGCAGACCATAACTCGACCTGCAAGGGATGACTGAAATCATCAATGAACCATCCAAGCTATGGAACCATCCACCTCCAGCAGGTCGATTGCCTGTGAATTATCTGAAACATCTTGAGGTGCAACTGGGGTCCATACACTCAAGGGATTTCACCCCATGGCTGCGCTGGCAAGACAAACGCGACGCAGAAACGCAGCAAACCGAGTCAGATAGATTCCTTGGCAAGGCCAACATCTCATGTTGTTTATTACCCTTGCCTTGGTAAGAAGGGAAATCAAGAGAACCCCCACCCATTTTGTAGATAGGGGAACCCGCAGAACAGATACTCATTCTCCAAAACCGAGACCGAAAAATAGTGTCTGTTGCTGTATCCATCAGACTTTCCCATGGAACCCGCGAAAACCTCCTGAGAGGCTGATTTGGGAGTCCCTTTTCGTTCGCTAAACTTGGCCCACAAAAAGGGGCAGAAAATAATATGTTCGGATTCTGTTTCGTAGTTCCTATTGAAATTAAACAATGAAACATAAAGAAACCTTGGCCCACATCTTGTGTACACAGAAAACATAATTTCACCGGACCCTCCAATCCCAATCAGAACATGAGTTTGACCCCAAAATGATGCCTTTTTATGGGGAAGTTCTTTCGGGCCCAGATACCCTAAAATATAAAACATCTTTGGCGACCCCAGCTACCCCCAAAAGCATGGCGGGTTTTCCATGGTCTTCAACGTCTTGGTGGTGACCTGAACGGCGCGGTTCCCCCGCCCCCCCGGCTGAGGTTGACCCCAAAGATGTGTTCAAGTCAGCGAAGAAACACACATCGCCCCCTATCCAAATAGAGACCCAACAATATAGAAAGCAACGCAGAACTCAAAGCCTACCCCGTGCAATGCGGAGAAACGGGACCTCGGCAAGTGGAACATGTGACTTTGCCTTGAAGATGGATGCTCCATCACAAATGTAAGTGGAACTTCTACACTAGCCCAAAACATTTGAGGTCAATGGGTATAAGGGCAACACAAAATAGGTCAAACTAAGTCATGATCTTGGGAGAATGCATTTAATTGTTTGGCCTCTTGCAGGGCGTCTAATTTGTTCCCTGTGCAATATGTGGGCGCCAATTGAACTAAAGTGGCGTTGCTACCCTAAAACAAGTTGCAAACACTTTCACATGAGCAGCGGCTGCTTGCATGGCTGCCGGAATGAAGATGAGACAAAAAGGTGAGTTCCTAGGCTTGCACAAAAAATACATTCAGTCCTCCCATTGCCACATGGACCATAACATGCTGAAACTTTAAGAATCATTGAGCGAGCCTGTGAATTGCTTGTCAAAATCTGGGTTCCTGTTTGTGTCCCGGCATGTGTCGGATCAAAAAACTGTATGCCCAGACCAATGTAGTTTCGCCATCCGAGCAGCATGTGTTTGTTTCAAAATCAGATGTCGACCCCCCCTAACATGGCCACGGTTTCCTTTTTGGCTTCCCTTACCCTCAAAGTTCCCCTAAAAGCGGGTTTTCGGGCCAAACATCATGGGTGACTTCCCTTTCCTATGGGCAGGGGAGAAGGTTACGTTTGCGGGTCCAGGCCCCTCAAAACCCACCCAACAGCGGATGTCCCCCAAAACAAAGGCGAGCCACCCACCTGGCACAGTGAAACAACTGCCACAAATGGGTGTGCCTTTGTTGAGGGTTGGCTTGAAAGGAAATTACAATGAGAACCACCCATCAATTCAAAAGGGGGGGGCGTCCCTATTTAAACACACGGGTATAGACATAGATTCATCTTAGCGATCTTGACTCCAAATGGCCTACGGTCGAATCGTTCTCGCTCTCGTTCCAAACGCCGTACCCAGTGATTCAGTTGACCTAGGTGACCAAGGATCGGCTGTCGGCCAGGAAAGTGGCCAGCATATATAACCCACCTGAACCCTCCAACTACCCATAAACAAGTTGGAAGTCACCAATTCCAGAAATTTGGGTTGCAACTATTTTGGAATATGTTGATTGGGTCCAGGCACTTGTAAGCTAAGTGAGCTGAACCGGTTGCAAGCCGGTCATAACCTAGCATTCTAATGACTTGCACAACTGGGCCGAACACCCAAGTGAGATGATACTTGAACCGGCTCGAAGGCTCGAAGACTGAGCTAACCGCGTGCTGGCCATCCTGCGAGTGCTCAAGCGTCAAGGGTCACTATCCTTGTCTCACTTCACCTGTGCTCAAATCCCCTGCTAAAAGTCTAACTTGTGGGTGCAATGGAAACCCCCCACTTTGACCAAACCCAAAAAAGACTACTTGGTTCGAAAATAGGTCCATGACCCCTGAGATTGGGGAATGACCAACCATTTTTTGAGGCACACGCCTTGGGTCGTGGGTCCGGAAGGCTCTTGGTGAGTGCTACCCTCCAACATCCCTTCTCACCGACCCAAACAACATTTCTGTCCATGACCCCTAGAAAAACGGGTCATAGCCCCTGAATTTTGAGTCAGGACCCCATTTTTTAAGGGTCATGGAGACTCCAGGTAGACTGTTGAAGTTGAAACCGGGATTCAGACAATCTTGACGGCTGGAAAGCTGCCGGCAAGTGTTGACCGTCGCCGATTCAGGAAAGCACCCACATGTCATCTCGAAAGCGCGAACGCCTTTGCAGAAATCTTGCACTTGCTTCCCTGGGACAAAAAGAGGTATTTCCAGTAGTGATAGATTCCCTTAACAACCTGGAGAACATAAAACATATTCTTAAGCAAATGGAAGAAATCGGTTGGCCCAGCCTGAGTACCAACATCAGGCCCGTGTCCACACTTGATCTGGAGGGGGCTAGGGCTAGGGCGCAATGGCAGCGTATCCTGCCGTAAGCGGGGAGGTTGCAGGCTCAAGTCCCCCTATCTCCGGACTAAAACTCGGATGTGCAATGAAGAAAATCAGGACAACTGGCATGCACACATTTCCCGGCCTGCTGTGCTCAGCCATTTAGCCCTGCAGAAAGTCATCTCTACTCTTGGTGTGGTAGCAAAAAACGTTGGTTTTTGCAGACTCCCAGTAAAAATGAACAGAACCCCCAAAAAAACACATGCCAAGAACAGTGAAGAAGTGTCTGGGTTTCTGTTAAACCCTGATCGCAACTTCAACCAGGGCCCCAAACGCGTCGGAAAAGATCGCGCCTGTCTCTTCTTCAGCTCCTTCGGTGAATCAGTGAACCGAGCTCCCTTGTGCTGAGCCGCAAACCATCAACGTATGACAAACCATCCAAAGACCATGTGACCATGGGTCAAAATCCCAATCGGTTAGCCCCCAGTGAACATCCGATTCAATCCAACCACTAAAATAGGTTCTAAAATGGGTATGGGTGGTGCACCTACCCCAAAGTGGTACCATTGGTTTTGAACCATGGCCATGTGTGCTTCGCCATCTTGCTTTTTGTTGTTAGAGGCATGTTTCCCCTGATTTCCTCTCCCGAACCTTCCCACAACTCTTTGTCAAACTGATGCAAACAAGACCCTGCTTTGGCAGGGTTTTCAGGGAAACCACCGGTACATTGATCAGATGTTGATTCGGAGAAATCCAAAGACACCCTGCTTTAGCCAGGTCCTTTCCTGCGATGCAAGTGACATCTGGAGCTTTGACCCTCCGTGCCGTCACCTTTGTCTCTTCAAACAGGAAACTCTGATACCACTTGGATGCCCACCGTCAGATACGTGGGTAATATCCCTGGTCCAATAAGTCCCCCGAGGCCCTTCATGGACTTAGTTGGTTGTCTGTCTCAGGGACCCCCCGCCAAATTGGAGGGCTCTCCTTGTGGTTTTCCCTTGAAACCCACAGAACTAAGAAGGGGTACCAGACTCACTTCCCAAGTTGACTGGACAAAAAAAGTCTGAACCTTTTATTTACCACTAAAATGGTCTTTGCAAAAAGTTTAAAGTCCATCAACTCAGGAAGTGGAACCCTCAAAAAGGGCTGCCAATTTGTTCATTGAAGATATTGGCCACGGGTCATCCAAACCTTTTGGGCATCGGAGCAGCCGGAGCACGCGGGTCCCGTGGCCTTTTCTTGGCCAGACTTCGACCCGCAAAAAGCTATTTCGTTGCTGGTCGAAAGGGAGAAGCCGGGAAATCCAAAAGGGCAAACAGAAACAAACAAAAGTAGGCTCAGTTTCGTGCTTTCTTGCGCAATTTTGACAAACACTAACATGGCCCCAACTTCCGGAGGTTTTGGCCAAGCATTGTACCGTTAGGCACCCAGAGGCGAAAAGGTTGCTAGCAGCCAGGTCTGGCAATCGACGATTTTGGTGTGTGCGGGTAGATCTTCACGCGTTGCATATACACATGTACAAATACCAACACATAACAATGAGAAAGAAAGCTTGTTTCTTAGTTCCGTTCTTTGCTTGTTCGTCTGTCTGTCTGTTTGTTTGTCTGCTTGTCTGTCTGTCTGTTTGTCTGTCTGCCTGCCTGCCTGTCTGTGCTTGTCCGTTTGATTGAACTGCTGATGCCCGCGACTACCTGCTCCTTTGAAGAACCTATCTCTCTTCATATCGCAGAAGAAACTAGAGACCAACCCCCTCCCCCGCATGGCCCCCTCCCCCCCCAAGCTCCCCGCCCCCAGTTTGTCCACCAGTGGTTGATTCCCACGACTACTCGATCATCACTTTTAAAGAACATATTCCCCCCCCCCCCCGAAAACCCTGCCAGACTTGTTATTCCTGGAGCGCAGTGGGAACATTTGGGAACCCTTTGCTAGACATCATTCACATGTCTACCAACCCATTTCGGAGGACGCCCTGAAAATTCCCTCGAGTAGACCCGCGTGGTTCCCATCGGCCGCCTGGGCCGCCATCCGCGTTCCCAGGCGCTCGAAGTCCGAGTCGCCAATGGAGACCACGCTGCGCCAGGTGCCTGGCGCGCGAGCGCTTGCCCAGCGGCCGGGCCCGGGGGGGCGTCCTATGTGTACCTGGACCCGTGAGCACTACCCAGCCACAAAAAGGGAAGGAAGTCACCAAGTTCAGAATTTGGGGTTGCAACAAACACCGCATCTTTGAATTGGAATCTCGAAGGTCCAGGCAGTTGTTCTGCTGCGGGTGATTGATTTGGAAACCAAGGGAACCCTTTAAAAGCCTGAAAAGGAATATCGCTGAATCCTCAAAAGTATCTGCCTTAAGAATGGGGTATCCGCAATTCAACCCTAAGCAAGACTTGGACCACCCAAAGTAGGCAATGTCCGATTTCAATAGATCTGTTGAATCCCCAAAGTGGGTCTACCCCACTTCTAAACCCCTCGTCGGCTATGGATATCTTCTGCACTGGAAACTTTTACAGGCCCTGGACCTTGGGGTCTGCTTTGTGGTTTCCTACAACCATGGGATTTGGCCAACCGTCCACCTGGACCTGGTATATGGCACAAAGCTCATCTGAGTGCCATCTAATTTTAACCAAACCGATCAAGAGGACACGTATGGTTGCTGGCCTGTTGAAGGGATCCTCTCCCAACTCAGCCCAAGTCGTGGAACGGCTTTGGGCGCCCGGACTCGCACTGACGTTTTTGCTATTTGCTCAAGACCTCCAACTTGATGTTCAACCAAAACGGCTCAAAGGCGGCTCCCCGAACCGCTATCGTCAAGGATCCCCCAATGCCAAATGCCAGAAGCGGCCAAGAAGGGCAAGACACGCTGTCCCGGCCCGCCGTCCTCCAACAAAAAGGTTCTGCGGTGAATGCCCTAAATACTGCAAGGAAGGGAACTAGAAAAACCTCTAGGGTACCGTAATATACCACACAACCAGGTTGCTGGTTGGTTTACTTGGAATATGTAAACGTCGAGCGTACAAGCCCCAAATCGACCCTCCCATGGCCCAGTGTTTAAGCCCCCCAAACGAGAATAAAACCATTGACATCTGGTCCATAGTTCCTGAACCTTGTGCAAAAAGAGATCAACATCCTCTCTACCTTAACGGAGGGGGGGGTGTGGGGCCCCAATTCCATTTATCTAATAGTACTAATCTTCTCCATAATGGATATTATGGGTTGTAATTTCATTTTTAAGGGGTGGGGAGAGATCAACCAAACATAAACCTTGGGGACACTTCACTACAGTTAGGGAGGCTAAAGAGCCCCAACTCCGAAAAAACCCAACCACTAAACCAACTGAATACAACTAAGATCCTAACAAGCCGAAGGACGGATGGGGGACCTCTTTCAATACCAAAAACAGAAAACACAATGCTGTATGCTTTTGGTAACCACCGGAAAACAAAGATACCAACTCAAAAAAAGGAAAGTCACCCACATGCGCAAGGGCGTAGTCTAGGTCCTCCAGTAGAAAGGTTAGAATAAGGGTACCTTTTATTCTCTGTAGTCTATTTTAGTAGCAAAACCCTCCCAACCAAAAAAGGAAACGGTGAGATGTCGGGCACGACTGGGGGACCTAGGCAGGGAATGAGAAATGGAATTACCCCAAGAAAAACCATCCCCAATTTGGCTTCCTTTGACGAGAATCCCCTTCCGGAGCCTTCCCTCAAGCAGACTGCAGTGCTCGGGGTCCGTGACTCGCGCCTTGGAGCTGACAGATCGCCTCCAGAGGCAGTCGAGGGCAAATGAATCCGAACCGAAGGCGTTAGGGGGCGAAGTGGACCGAATCCCGCTGGAACCAAAGCTTTGGAACAGGGGATTTACGCCCGACTTTTTTCGATAACAAGGGTTTATGGAAGCTTGGGTGCTGTAGATCCCCCAGCAAGACATTTCTTTTTTGTCTTTTTGTTTGTTTTACTTTTGGCCAATGTTGGCCGGTTGAAATTGGAAGCATGAGGGGAATCCAAAAAGTGAACATCTAAAGATCCGACCCAATGGCAGTAGAGCATCATGGTCGACAAACTGCCACTAAATTCCAGGTGTAAACCCAGGTTTCAGCTACGCGCCCTTTTTCTTGAACACAAACGGCTTCCAGGTATTCCTAGACTCCTCCCAGTGCCTTGCCGCCAGGCTCGCACTGCTACAAAATGCTGCCCTCTTTTCGGGCTAAGGTCAAAACGTCGCCCCTTTTCGGGGCTAGCTCAAGCCGCGCTGAACCTCTCCTCTCCTGCAATTCGCGCAGGGCTGATAGGTCACTCCCCGCCCAGCGCACGTCTCCAGCACATGCCACAGGCCATCTCCTGTGATGTGCACTGCTCCCGGATGAACGAAGAGCAGCCGCCTGAAGTCCGGTGTCGTGCACACCGGGCATGGCAGGGTCTCCATGACCCGAGTTGCCCTCCTCAAACCATAGCAATTCTCGCGGGCATGGTACTTCTCGCCCGTCATGGTGTAGAACACGCTAGGCTCCACCGGGATTCCGTCGTCCTCCGACTCAGGCTCGGGAATGTCTTGGTGACCACTCCCTGCGGCCCTCGATGCTGGGTTGACGTCAGCACCGGCTCCGCGCGATCCTGCCTGGGGTTCCGACCAAGGCCGTAGGTCCCTGCCAGGATCTGTCGCCTGTTTGCCCGTTCCTTTGTGGTAGCCCTTGCTGTAGCCCTTGCTGTAGCCCTTGCTGTAGCCCTTGGTGACCGCGATCCAGTCCACATTCCGTGCCGCGGTTCCCCTCGGCTCCACAGGCGTCTTTCCAATTCCCTTTGCCATAGATGGTGCCGCCGTCGTCCTCTTGGCTGTAGCCCCCAACTCGCCTGAGCCAGTCCCGGCACCAGATGAGGACCTCAACGGATCCTGCTCAGATCCCACATTCAATCTCGGCGTAGAAGGCCGTCTTGCCATAGGGCTCGGCTCATCCACCACCGAAGAGGTAGGCCTCGGGGTAGTCCTCCTTGTGGATGACCCTCTAGCCGTTGACGATGACGCAGCCACCTCCTCTGTCTCTTCGACTTTCTCCACTCGCATGCTCTGGATCCTCGGTCCACCCCATCGCTCTTGTACCTTTGCCGCCAGCAACTCTAGCAGCTTCATGACCGCGACCGTGAACACCGCCACCAGCATGCCGAAGACCTTCAAGTGGTCGTAGTCCCCACTACCATCCTTCTTCTCAGGATTCTCCTCCATGGCTGCCGCACCTTGAACTTGCATGCAGCAGCCCAACACCGCCACCAGCCCTCGACACTTGTTCACCTCCAGTCTCACCAGAGCTGACTTCTCAATGTCCTCTTCACTCTCCCCTTTCGCCTTCATGCCCATCAACTTCATGAGCTCCTTCAGCTTTGCCCCTGTCAAGGCCTTGGTGCCCACGTCGGCGATCATCTCGACTCCAGGCAAATGCCGAACTCGCCATTCATCCGCTTGGATCCTCCACCGAAGGTGAAAGGCACGTAGGCGCAGATGACGTGTGCGCCAAGCTCCCGTGCTTTCTGCACACAGCTGAATCGCTGCCTGATTGTCACCGAAGAGGTACCGCATGTAGTTCGCGCCCTCCTCAATCTCGTTGATGAGAACGTCTACCGCGTCCCCCATCACGACGCCTTCGATCATCTCCATGAGCTCGCACTCGGCTGTACTCAGCGCCGGAAATCCTTGTCTGCTGGACTTCCAAGCGATCACCGAGTTCTGCCACTTCACCATCACGCAACCGTGCGACAGAGCTCCTCCTGGCGCGAAGCTCGAGTCCGTGTAGACCTGCAAACCTGCCCGATCAGCTCCGTCCCAACCCACGCCGGTGTCCGGGGTGAATGTGAGTCCCACCGCCGATGTCCCGTTGAGGAACTTGAACGCCTGGAGGCCCACCTTCTGCACCCACCTTGGCGCTCGGGTCACGTGGCTTGCCAGCCTGGAAGTCACGAACGCCAGGTCCGGTCTTGTTCTTGTGACCACCCATAGCAGTTCTCCGGCTACCTTCTGAGCCGCTTGCACTTCCTCCGCCGTGATTTCGCTCTCTACCTCCGGCTCGGCCATATCCTTGGACATTGGGATTGCCGACTTTCCCGTGATGCCATTCCGCTCCACGAGGTCCTTGATGTAGTTCTCCTGAGTGAGGAGGTAGGTGCCGTCCTTCTCGAGCCACAGCTCCATCCCACAAAACCTCACTCCCGCTTCACTTCCGACCTCCTCCGGAGCCGACACTTCCCACACTGACTTTATCTGGCCACACAGGCTTTTCCTCACGGAATCGCTGGCCAGTATCAGCATGTCGTCCACGTACACGACAACCAGGCCCTTCATGACCTCCGTGCCATTCTCCTCGTAGATGACCTTCCACAAGTTGGGTTCAGACTCCAGCTGCCGCAACTTCAGCCATCCATCATCCCACTTCCATCGCCACTTCTCCATCGTGTCGTCCCGGTAGTCCGACCACAGCCTCGGCGATTGCCTAAGTCCATATAGTGCTCGCTCCACTTTCCACATCTCGCCGGGCTTGACCAATCCCAAACGAACCAGCAGCTGCGGGGGCTTCATCACAATGACGACCTCCCCTTCGTCATCAGCCGCTGCCAGCGGGGCATTCAGGAAAGCACACTTCACATCCAGTGTCGTAGCCCCCCATGATCTGACCGCCGCCGTCTTCACCGCCAGTCTCATCGCAACGCTGTCGCTGCCTCCGGCATACAATTGTTGCTGATCATGGCTGTCTCCATAGTTTCCGCACACCACCAGCCGGCACTTCTTCCGGGCCTCCAGACCCGGCTTCAAGGTGTACACCGCCTTTCCCGGCAGCACTTGCACCTTCTTGTCCGAGTTCACCAGCCTCTTGGCCTCCTCCGGCGATAGTCTCGTCAACGCCTTCTTTTCCAGCATGAGCGAATCCATCTCCTTCACGATGGCTTCCTTCCACTCAACGAAGTTCTCTTCCACCTCCCGACCCGATACAATCGGTCTGCAGCACTTCCTGGTGCAGCTTCGCCTCCGGGGTCTCATCTCTGACTGTCTGCTCCTCTGCCCGCAAACTCTGGATACTCTTGACGATGATATCCACGACCTCAGGCTCGTCCTTGAGCAGGTTCCTTTCCTCCTCTTCTGCAAGCTGTGCCAGCCTTCTCACATACTTCAGCGCTCCATCCTCCTCTAACTTCTCCCTTGGAGTCTTCTCTCTCACCCTTCTCCTCAGCTCATATGGCTCCTCATCTTGCGGGGGCTTTTCTGCTCCTCTCTCAACCAACCTCCAGTCTGGCCCTTCCGTTGGCATCGGAGTCCACTTGTGCAGCACATACGCCGCTGTTTGGATGGATCCATCATCCTTCACGACCGCATGCCCACTTGGCACCTCCGCGATCGGGGTCATGTAGTAGGCCTTCTCGTTCAATGGATCCCACTCTTTTCTCTTCCACGTTCTCTTCTTCACCAACACCTCCTGACCAAATCTCGGCATATCGGCAGGCTTCCCAAGACGGATCCTCTTCTCCTTCTCGACTGCATATCTAGCCGCACATGGCCAGTATTCTCCTCCCATCTCAGCAGAGTGGAGTAGACGTCGGGTCCGATCCTTCAGCCCCCTGATTGCCCTTTCCGCACGGCCATTCTGGCGGTAGTCATCGCCTGCAGTTGATGTCTTGGCGATGTCTCTTGCCAAGCACCAGCTCGCCAACACCTTATTCTTGAACTCGCGCCCGCAGTCCGAGTGAAGTCGGGCTAGAGGAAGATTCTCCCGTCTTAACTCGAGGTACATCTGCTGGATCGCCTCCAAAACCTCTCGCGAGCTCTTGCTCACCAAAGGTATCATGAACCACAGCGTCTTCACTGGTAGTGGTGGAAGGCCTTCTTCGTCTTCTCCTCCCTCCTCTTCTTCTTCAGCTTCAGCCGGGTTCATCTGGGCGTCCTCCAACTCCTTGGCCTCATCTTCCAGCTCAAAGTCCCAATCTCCTGCTTCCAGAGGTGGCAACTCCGGCTCGTACTCCTCTTCTTCTATCACCAATTCTGGTCGAGGCGGTGGGTCAGGCGCTCCTTTGATCATGAAGATTGTTCTTCCTGCCCATCTTGAATCATCCTCGAACAGTCGCTCGCCAGCTCCTGCAGTTCTCCAATCATCGGTCACCGTCTCATACGCACCTCCTTTGGCCTTTCTCGCGACCGTGCGCCTCACATCCGCCAGCTGGTCTATGGGGACCGGACACTCTTCAGCCTCCTCCGGGAAGAACTACCCTTTTCGGTGGGACTTGTGCACCCTGATGACCATTCGCCCATCGATGCTCTTGGTCCAGTAGTCCGCCAGCCTCCCTTTCTCCTCCTGGATCTCCCCCTCCTGGCCCTTGGTCCCCTTTTCGTAGAACAGGATGGTCCTCAGGTTGCGGGTCTTGTCCAAGAGTCGATGAAGGTCTTCCTCTTCTAGGTTCGTCACCTCCACGCTTTCCAGAACCTCACCGGTGTCATTGTCCACGGTTACTCTCCACTTCACGCTCCTCCAGGGTGGTCCTCCTTTTCGGGTGGTTCGGTAAGATACCGCATTCTCATCAATCCTCTTCCACCTCCGCATGGCTTGCACCCGTTGAGGGACCTTCCAACTCCCCGGAGCCAATCCGTCGATCTCCTCGTCCCAAACCTCTTCCTTTCCACCACGAGGTAGGGTGTAGGCACCCATGAGGAAGTACCTACAGCTCTTGCCGTCGATGTCGTGCCCTCGACGCAGAGGTCCCGCCAAGTCCACAGACAAGATGTGTGCCTGGGGATGAGCAATGCGCCGATGTGCTCGTCCCTGTGCGGATGCTTCCTGGCATACACGACAGTCTCGCCTGTATGGCGTATGGCCGTTGGCCAAATGCTCGGCCCACGACAGCTTTCTCACTGCTGTCTTGATTCCTGTTGCTTCCAGCAACGCCTTCGCGACGGACCGCATCAGTCCCGGCGCCCATCTCGCAAGCTCCTTCGAGCCCTCCACATCTGCTGCAGCTCTGGTCGTACGGGTAGACCTCCTTTCTTTGCTGCTTTGGCTCTCCTCAGGGATCGCCAACTCCAGGTCCGTGCCCATCGTCGTAGGTTTCGCGGCCTTTCCTCCGAACACACTCTGAAAGAAGGTGATTTCACTCAGGCCCTCCTTCTCTTTCATTGCCCTCCACTGCGGCGTTCGCCACCACGACCAACACTCAGGCATATATTTCTCCGGGCTGGCTGGGTGCTCCACGAGGAAATGGGGTTCTTCACCTCCCTTTCGTAGTGCTGCCTTCTTCGCCGCCAGGTAGATGACCATCATCCTCCACATCATCACGTCGTCCTCGAACACCGCCTTAGCTTCGTGCTCGGTCAGGTCTGCCTTCCCGAACTGCTCCTGCACCGCGGGCCCCCTCACCGGTCTCGGGGCCTCCTCCAGCCTCCGGCAACGGGTAATGCCTCAGCACACTCCTCGTTCGACAGTTTGGTCCTCCAACCACTGCCGCCAGACGCCCATCCTGTGCAAGCCTCAAAAGCGTGCCGTAGAGCGGGCCTCGCACCATGTCGTGCTCCTTTCCTCTCTGGATATCCACCTCCAACAGGAACCGATTGTCTCCTCCTAGCTCCTTCACTGCTCTTGACAGAGTATAACCTTCTTCTGCGCCTGCGTAGAGGTGCAACCAGAGGGGATCTCCTCCTTTCTCCAACAGCCTCCTCCTCCTCCGGTTCCAGGGTAGATGCCGAAGATCCTCTGCAGGCTCCTCCACCAACATGGCCTTCACCTTGTCGGGCACTCCCTTGAACACCGGGTGAGAATCCACCAGCTGCTGGATACTCTCCTTCTCAATCAGCGCCTGTACCAGCACTTCACCTTTATCCTTCTCTGTCTTCAGCTCCTCCAGCTCGTCGAGAAGCTTCATCGCCACGGCCCTGTCCACATAGGGGCATTCATCTCTCATAGTCACCTTCAGCTTCCCTTTTCGTGGGTGTTCCACTGAACATTCCACGCCGGACCACTCCACCTTGCACCCAAGGGCTTTGATCAACACCCCCAAGGGAATGATCGGGTCCACGTCCGGGTCGTCATGGATGATGATTCCTCCCGGGCTCATTCTCATCCACCGCTCTTCACCTCCGGCAAGGGTTACTCTTACCTCGTCCATGGTGTCAAGGTCTTCCGAAGGTTTGCATCCTCTGAGTGGATGAGTGGCCCCCGAGTCCAGCAATCCACCAACGGCTCGGCTCAAACTCGACACCTGGGCCTTATTCAGCCTTGGGTCTCCTCGGATCTCGTCCAGCTGCTTCTGCAACATCTCGAGCCGATTTTCCCTTTCTTTCCCATTCTTCACACCGCTGGTCTTGTTGAGGCTCCTCAACATCTTACCCGCCTCCTCCAACACCTTGGTAACGGAGCTGGCAGCTGTCTCCTCTACCACCACCTCCTTCTTCTTCTTGTCCTTGTCATTCTCCTGGTCCACCACCGACTGAGTTTCTGCCACTCCTCTTGCCTCCTCAGCTTTGAATGGCTTCACTGCCGGTGCCGTTGTCCGTTCTCCTCCTCCAGGCTTGGAGACCTTGCGCGGGCAATCCTTCCGCATGTGCTCCGTCGACCCACAGTCCCAGCAGCGTCCTCGAGCCGTCTCGTCCGTCGGGTGCAACCAATCACATCCTCGACCTCGCCGGCAGCCGCTGTCGGACATGTAGAACCGGCAGGGGGTTTTCCCCTTTGCTCCTCCTTTTCCGTCGCCCTTCCCTTCTTTGCCTTCTTTTCCTTCCTTTCCATCGCGGCCTTCTTTGGACTCCTCCAGCTTCCGGACCTTGGTGTCTCCTCCTGCCGTGCTGGTTTTCGTCGGAGCCTTCTTCTCGCTCAAAAAGGCCGTCTGTTCCAGCTCCGCCAGCAAGTGTTCCGCATACTGCAGCACCGTCGCATGGGTCGGAACCGAGTCCACCTGCAGTGTGCTCCTCGCCAACGAAACTCGGAAAGTCAACTCCCGGTTCGCCTCCAAGACCTTCTTTGTGAGCTTCGTCAGGCCTCTCATCAAGATGCTTGAGTCCGGCAGGGTCAACCCAACGTCTCCTGCACGTCGCCGCCATCTGACCCAACGTCTCAGCCCCTTCACCGCTTCCGCCACCGATAGAGCTTCCCCTGGCTCCTCCAAATTCCTCAACACCACGGCCTTCTCCACCAATCCTCCCGGCTGATAAGCGATCATCAGCTTGCACAGAACCGCAAACGTCGTAACGGCCTGCGACGAGATCAGCTCATCACGGATTCCTTCCGGCACCGCCTGGATCAGCATCGATACCGCTCTTCTTTCCACCCGACTCCACTTCTTCACCTTCAAGGATGTAGGTGTCTCCGGGATCATGTTCATCCGCTTGATGGGGACTTCCTGCAAGTAGCGGGCATACCATTCCTTGGCCTCGGTGACCATGAGCTGCCACCACTCAGCGCTCGAATCACTCAAATCAGCGAGGAGCGGCTCTATGATGATCATCCAGTCACCCAGATCAATGGGGCCTGACTCCGCCGTAGGTTCACTCAGCTTCGGCAGCTCAGTGATGCCAGGGCGAACCACCTCCACCGTCTCCTGATTTCCTTTCCCGGCACCACCCATCAACTGCTGTTGCATGGCCTGCATCCCCTCCAGCAGCTTCAGAATGACGTCCATCTGCTTCCCGTTCTTTCCACTGCCCGCCACCGATGCCGGCCTCAGCTCTGATGAAGATTCATCATCATCTTCATGTTCACCTCCATTGTTCTCGCCGTTGGCCATGTCCGGGTTCATGCCCTGGTCGCGCACATTCTGGCCATAGCTCACGTCCACGTTACCTCCCATCACCTCCATGGGCTTCCGGCTGTTGTCCCCACTCTTCTTGTCCTCGATGCTAAGCACCTTGCTCTTGTCCCGACTGTCCGGGGTACCATAGCTCTCTTCCACCGCCTTGCCGTTCTTCAGGCTCTCAATCTCCCTCATCAGGCACTGGTTCTGCGCCATGAGCTCGTTCACCAGCCGCATCACGTACTCCTGGTTCTCCACAGGCATTCTTGCCGCCGGCGACATCCTGCTCGTAGCGCCCGCCAGCTCCATACCCGCCTCCATAGGTTCAGGTAGATGCCGAGGTCTCTCTTGGTCCATCCGGGTGCCATGAATCAAGGGGGCTTCTCTCCGCCACCGAGTCAGGGTCTCCATCTGGGCCTCATTGAACAAGGGTTCCAGAACCACAGGGTCGCCACGTGGCCCACCTGCCCATTGTTCTTCTCCGTCTCCTTTGCCTTCTCGACCGCGGGAGCCTTCTTGAAGGGCCGTTCTTCCCGAAGTCGACCTCCTTGGCGTGTCGAGCTCCTCCGCGGATCTCTTCCCACCGGAGTTCCCCTTGCCCTTGGCGCCAACCGGCACCAGCTCCTGCCCAACCAGCTCCAGGCTCTCCTCCGCCTCTTCCGGTTCTCGCCGTCCGAGGTCTCCTGGAGACGCCATGGCTTCACCGCGTCCTCCTTGGGCTCATAACCTGTAAACCCAGGTTTCAGCTACGCGCCCTTTTTCTTGAACACAAACGGCTTCCAGGTATTCCTAGACCAGGAATGCACGAACCTGAATTTCGGGTTGCAATCACAGCCAGATTCCTTTTAGGCTTTTGAGGGGTGCCGTTGGTTTCCAAATCAAGTACTTGGAACATCTAGAATAACTCCGAACACTGAAATAAGAATTGGGTGGCTTCTCTTTCACTCAGGCCAAACTCTCGGCCTTGTCAGGTGATTGAAGCTTATTTGGCACACAGCTTAATCCATTTTTAAGTTTGGAATTTTGAGGGTCCAGGAGTATGTTTTGGCAGGGAATCAGGGGACTCGGTAGTGATTCCCAAAAAGCAGGTCACGCACTGATTTACCCGCTCGCAACTTAGAGGAACTTCATTCCACCGAGGCTTCCCAGTCTTAGCAGTCCGACAATCGAGTCATTCCAGGCTAGGGGTACCTTCCATTTCCACTCTTTCCAGGAATCTTTCTTCAAAACAAATCCTTCAGAAACCCAGGGAAACGGCTGGTTATTGAAAAGAACGATGGTTGAAAAGAATGGACAAGGAATCAACCCCTAGATTCATGGATTCAAGGTTTAGCAGCCCGGAGCTTTTTGCTTGATCCTCTGCTCAAACGCAGGCATGGTGAGACTGTCCAGGGTGAAAGGCAGAAAGAGCTCCTCCGCTTCGACTCCCTGAAAGGAGACCTAGGCTTCCAATCAAGTCTGGTGGAACAAGTCCATGCTCCAACGGCTGGGCCAATCAAACAATGCACATCAGGGCTGTGGGAAATGCCCACTTCTGTGATACAAGAAAAAGGTCCCCCAAAGACTACCTTGCCATTCAAAGAGGGGATTCCCTTGTATCGCAGAAGTGGGGATAAACCCCTTGATCCCACAACCCTGATGCACATCCACGGCAGTTTCAGTTTGGGTTCCTGGGTCGGGTGCACAGAACATATGTTCTGATTCTGCTTCCTGGACCCTCACACTCCCACAAAGAAAGGGAATTCACCCACCATGTACGTGTAACTGTTGCTTGAGCTGGAAATTGGAATTTGGAATTTGGTGCAGCTTCGTATTTTGGCCTCTAAAAAAAAAGAAAGGCCAAACAAGTTTCGTGACTGAACAAATCTTATCCAAGACTTGCACCGACGCCGCCTGTCCCAGTTCTTCAGGTGGGGCCTTTCGGTTTCACAAACCCTGTCCCTTGCCGTGGAACCCGCTACCTGGAGTCTCCTTCTGACCCCTGAATTTTGGGGTCATGACCAACCAATTTTACAAAGTCATGGAGACTCTAGGGCTACCCAGAGGCTCTGATCGGCTTCGGCTTTCAATGGAAAACCCGACCCCTCCATTAGCCCGGAGGTGGTTGGGGGTCTCAAAACCTGGCTGTCTGAGGGCCCCAAATCAATCGGGAGCCTCTGGGTACGCAAAAAGGGGGATCCACAAGACACTTGAACAAAAATATCGCTCTTGCAACCCAAACTTATGGTCCGGTGAATTCCCATCTGTTTGAACTGGGTAGTTCTTTGGGGTCCAGCCAGGCCCAGCGGAACCAAAAAAGGGGGACCTCTCATATCGCAAGCCCAAACATCCAGTCCGCGCCTCCTGGAAGCCTTCCCAATCTTTTGCAGGGCCGGGGTTGGTGCTCTTCAGGGAATATGGCGGTTTGTCGATGGTATTATTCCAGATTCCCAGTGGATGCATTTACCTGCATAGGTCATCAAGGGCTTGCCACCCTTTCAAAACCTTAGTAGGCCAATCTGTAAACCGCATAATCGACAATCAGCTCAAGTATTCAGGATTCGGTCCATGTTTAGTCTACCTGAGCCTTCAAAGTGATTGCAACCCAAAATTAGGGTTGGTGACTTCCCTTCTTCATGGCTAGGTTGTTCGGGTCCACCAAAGGGTTGTCCCTTTGGCTTCAATTTCCTGGCATCAATTTCCTGGAATTCTTGGATCGAGTAAGAAAATAATTGCACCACCTCTTGCGGCGCTTTGCTAAAGGTAAAGCAGGGAAGCCATCATGTAAACCTAGAGCTAACAGCCCTGGACACTATACTCGGTTGCTTTCTGCTCCCCTGCTAAAAGTTTAACCTTTAGTGGGATACACAACACGGACCAAGGACAGATCGGCATGATAGCACCGACCACAACATTGACACCACAAGGTCCTGCAGACACAGGCTATGCAGGAGAATACTGGCAATTCAACACACAAGGTGAACTTGTAAGAGTACACAGGCAACACAGAAAGACACTCTTCACACCTTCGAGAACACAGTGTCCAGTCCCAGCAGAACAACTTGAGGACTACAGGAAAACAACCATCAGACTCAAGGATGGTACAATGAACACGTTTGAAGACAAGTATCAACCAATGGAAGCGCCAAACAAAGCACAACCACAAATGTGGAAAGGAGAGACAACATTCAGGATCAAGACAGGCACAACATTGCCAGAGGCAATACAGCAACAGCTTGCAACAAAAACACAGCCAAAAAGTGCACCACAGAGGGTGACACCGCAAGTGATTCAGTACAAACCGCGCACACGGCTTAGAGAGAAAACAACACCACCAACAGTTCAGGACACACCTGCGCCACACACCACCAAAGTGGCGAGGACATGGGATGCGATGAGCCTTACATCTTTGGGCTACACTGAGGAGAACATCACCGGGAAACAGCCCTTGCGTACATTGGATGGGATCCACATGGACACCATCCAGAACAAGACCAACATGATGTACATTGCAATGACATTTGAGGAGTTCACATCTTGGACAGAGAATGGCGAACTGAAACACATCCATGGCTGGGCTAGAAGCCAAGAGGTCGAGTACATCGTGTTGAACAGCATTTCTGCCTTCGCTTGTTTCTTCTTCCTCAGATGTGTCTCCTTCTGGCAGGAAGAAATGCTGTGCACCCTGATCTTCTTCTCCCAGCAAGCTCGGATCTGAGACCATTGCCGTGGTCACAGGCGAATTCAGAGCTGCCTCGATCATTTCGGGCGCGGCTCCGACCAGATCCACAGAGGTTGCTTCCGATGTGGCGAGAATAACCCACGCCTGGCTCGCACTATTCCGCTTAGATCGGGTGTCCTAGCGGTGTTGTATGCGAGCCTAGACGGTTCTGGGCTTCTGTGCGCATCTTCGCTGCTGGCAGGACACAGCACCTCGACACATTCATTGTGGCCACGGTGCGGCTGGATGCGAGGCACATTGCCGAGTGGGCATCCCGCGGCTACATCAATTTCTTCAATCGGGGCTACAGTGCAGTACACATGCAAATTCACATGAACAAGACATGGATGCAGACACAAGACGAGCGGTCTAAACATCAGGTTTTCAAGTACACTGGCAACAATGGCCTGCTTGGGATTTACATGAAGTTCAACTGGAACACAGGGTACATCTGGTCCCACAACGCCTGCGTGAATGTCGAGCAACTCGCAACAGATGAGGACACAGGCCGCAGACATGCCACATGGCAGTGGCACAGGCATTGTCCTTGATGGGAGTTGGCAGCATCAAACATCTGCCACCTGCACATCAGGTGACATTGGTGAGGCACATCTCGATGCAAGATGCAAACAGTCTCAACACACGTGGCACGATTGAGGGACAGGCAGTGCCAGGACATCCGGGCCACATTGACTACATCCTCGAGCAGCAGCATCTGTTTTACATGAACTATGCTGCGTCCAAGGCACAGGTGTACAGTGAGTACATTACAGGAGTGAAGCAGGGAGCCACACTGCTTACACAGTGACTGCCGATTTTTGGCACACCGGATTTGTGGACACAAGGTGTTGCAGATACACCTTGCTGACATCAGGTCACACTTGCAGTCTGTACAGCCGCTCGACACATTAGAGGAACCGTTGTACAAATTGAAACAGTCAGTAGAGCTGCTAACAATTTTATATCACCTCGACAAGCTAGAGCACAACTGTTTGTCTTGATGTCTAGGTGCATCAATCCAAGGTGGGGTGTTAATATACATCCTCACTTGTACATGCCCTTGCACATCCGTATGATCAAGGCCTTGAGCCTACATACAGTAGAGCTACAGCTTGCCACCTGGAAACAACAGTGCCGCGCTGTCACACACAGGTCTTCAGGTATTTACATCATCAATCCAACTTTAACAAAATATATATATATATATATATATTTGCCTGGTGAGTGGAAAACAAAGGGATCCCCAAAAAAGCAAAAAAGCAAAAAGGGTAGCTAATTCTGGTGAAGATAGTAGGTAACCAACGATTTTCTTTCTGTTCGTTTAAGGCTGGCAAGCTCTTGGCGACCTATGCAGGCCAATGCATCTGAGAATCTGAAAAGACTACCAAAACAAACCTCTTCGAGGAAACAAGGCGCTGACCTTGCAGCTGAGTCGCGGTGCGCGACTCCTCCTTGCACTTCGGAGTTTTGCGATTCTCATCCGCTCCCCGATCGCCTGAGATGGGTAGTGGCTTTCTGAGCTGCCCTCAGATCCCCCGCTAAAAGTGGACAACGTTTAGTGGGCTAAATGGAAAACCCCACTAAAACACGAAAAAGCTCAAAAGCTGACGGGATGGCTGGGAGCCTCCAAGTTGTTGCTTGTCCAACACTTGGGGTACGCAAGAGTGGGTTGCTCCTCCCCCTGAGCAAAAGGTGTTGGGTGAAAGACCAGCCATGAAACATTGCCTGGACCCTCAAAGCTCCAACCCAAAATTGTTGGGGGAAGGAATCCCTTTTTGATGGGTAGTTTGAGGGTTCAGGTACCCCCATTTTTTTTTATGGTTGGTTTAAAAGAAAACTTAAGTTTTGTGAATAACAACTAAATAAACCCAAAATTATGAATGGGTGAATTCCAACTTGACTTGATTTGTAGTTTCAGGGGCCAGGCCTTCAGATGGCCCATAGTCTATGCCCTAACAAGGTTTTGGGATCGGAGACCCAGGTTTTAGGCCAATTGGGCGAAAACCCAGCACGGGTCCAGCATGTGGTTGCTTCGGTGTTGGGGGAGATCTCGGATCTGCGAGCGGCGGACAAATGCCGGATTACTTGTGCGTGATCTCTTGGAGTACCTGTGGATGTCGTGGTGAATCATTGTTTTGTTTTTTGTGGGTCTCTCGCTAAAATACGTCCCAGCAAAATGGTTGGCGTCCGCTTGCTTTCCCTTTCAAATCCAACAGGGGGTCCGCCAATTTGAGAAGCTCCGTGGCCCAACTCCCACTGCAGTTGGCAGGCGGTGCATCCCAGTACTCCTCGGGTTTTATTTCCTTCCCAACCGCGGGAGTTGGTCCGTCCACATGGCCGGCAGAAAGTAAACCTTGACCCGGAACTCATAAAACCCGGCTCATTCATACGGGGGGCGGGTCCTCCAAAAGTGGCCTGAGTCCCCACGAACTAAACATGGACAGCCCCTGATTAACATCAACATGGAGCTTCTATCCAGAGGTCCCATTAAATCTGACTAGAAATCAGCCAGCAGAAAATCAACAACGCGCCTGCCTTGCCAAAAAGAAAAGAAAAGCGCGGGGCTTGGCCGCACCCCAAACCCGGAGTGGTCATGGGAAAAATGAGGGCACCCGTTTTGGTGTACCTGAACCCCAAAGAACCCAAGCAAACATTGGACATTCACAACAAACCTTTGGAGCGAGAACCCGCTCTTGAGGAAATCTTAAGGGTTCCAGCACTTGTGACTTTTTTCCCAATGACAACTCACGAAAAAGGGACAAAGGGGCACCACTGGGGGCCTCTGCTGTTGACCTCAGGTATTAAAACAAAGGCCTTGGGACCCAATTTGGATCATGACAATCTTAGGTAAACTCTAGGAAACCGCTTGGATGCGGTTTTTGTGGATCCAGCCCTGTGGGATACTAAAAGAGTACTAAAAGAGTACTAAAAAAGAACCTAAAAGGGGAAGAACAGGTAAAATCCACAAAAGGCGCATCCAAACCGATTTCTAGGTATGACCCCAACCACTGTTTTAAGGGTGGATGCCTGAACCCGAGAGGGAGACTCCAGGTAGACCAGTTGCCCCTCCCCCCGATTGCCCGAATCTAGGTCCAGCAGAGAGGTTAGAAGAAGGGTACCCCATTTTTTTCAGGACGTCGATTTTAGTAGCAAGACCCTCCCCCACAAAAGAAACGGTAAAAGGGCACTACTGGCGGAAAAAAAGGGGAAACCGACACCGAGAAAACGAACCCAACAAAAGGAAAGGAAGCAAAAAAAGGAGAGACAAAAGAAAGGGAACAAACATACAACCCCAGAAAGGGGGAACAAAACAAACCAAACAAATGGAACCAAAAAAAATGGAACAACACAAAACACATGGGAACAATTGCAACAGAAAGGACAATTGGAGCAACAAAAATTGGAAACTTGGAACAAACAAAAAGCCCTCGCGTCCGACGCCTCTCCGCGGCGAGCTGCTGGCCCCGCCCAGCGCGTCGGGCGACAGATTCGCCGAGCGCCCCGAGGACTTGGAGAGGCTGCGGGACCCCGAGCCCCGAATCCACACGTCGCCGTCCTCCGAAAAAAAGCCGGCGAGGCGAGGCGAACCAGGCGGATTTTTTCCGGATTTTTGTCCGCAGGTTCCGCCAAAAGTGACGGACTTTTGACACACTTTTGACAAAGTGTGGTTGATTTGACATTTGTTTTTCTTTTTTTTTCTGGTTTTTTGTTTTTTTTCTCGCTCAAAGTGACTAATGTCCACCTCTGATTAATGGTATTACACATCCATTTGCACCACTTTGAAGCCATGGTTGAAACCATTGTGTTGGTATTAATTCGCTAAACGTGACTGACTTTTAGTGGGCTCAATGCGGAAACTAGGAAGCTCAGCCCCTTAAACTAGGAAACTAGAGCCCCTTTTTCAGATGTTCCGCTCACCCAGAGGGTCCCCTTGGACCTCATAATTGAGGAGTTGGAGAATCTGTTGACGAATCCCATTGAACCAAACCCAAAGCCGTAATTCTGGGGTACCTCTGGGACCCTCTGGGTCAAAGTGACGAATTTGCGAACCTCTGATTAATCAATAGGGGCCCGTGGGAACACGCTTAGCTTTATTTAGGGGTAGGTTACTAATCGTAGGTGGACATTAACTTTGAGTGGGTGAAATTCTGAAACCACCAAACATAAATGTGTTTTGGCTGCCCGTTGTTTGATCCCCCTGTTGGTGTCTCCAGATCCTTTTAGTGGGTGAAATTCGGAAACTACCATCAAACCCTAAAAGGATCTAAAAAGCTAAGGAACCGGATGGCGTTTGCTGAAACGGATGCGGCCCAGCAGGAGTTGGTCTTGCGAATCAGGTTTTTTTTGGGGGCCCCCAATCCCTCCCTGCTTTAATCAGGCATCGTGAAGCTCAGCCACTCAAAAAGAAGAAGCTAAAGCTTGGAGAGCTCCCGCTAGCATTGCTAGCTTTCGTGATGAGGGACCCCAACGAACTACCAGGAAAATCAAAGGTGGGAATGTCACCCAAATCAATCATGTTGGGTTGCAATAGCCCGTTTTTCACTGAATATTTGAGTTCTCAGGTAGGGCCTACATCATAAGAATGGGGTGGGGTGCCTTGTTCGTCATGATTGTAGTGGTAAACTCTTGGATACTCTTGGTATGGTTAGTTTAAAGAAACCCTAAAGGACCAGAACACAAAATCCATCTAGGTCCTCCAGTAGAGAGGTTAGAATAAGGGTATCCTTTTTCTGTAGTCTATTTTAGTAGCAAAACCCTCCCAACCAAAAAAGGAAACGGTAACAGTTGGCACTACTGGGGGACCTAGCCGTTCTTTCAACTCCCTACCTCCCACGCTCCCGCGCCTCCCAATAGATCTGCGCGGGCGGACCCAGCTCCAAGCGACCCTTGTAGGTCTGGTCCAGGTACACCAAGTGCGCCAAGCCCCCTGGGAAGTTCTCTGCGCCCAGCCCCAACCATTTTTTTGGCAAACATCTTAGGGGCCTTTGTGAAGAGCGATGCGATATCGGATCGCTCTAATTCAACGGCGCTTTGCCAACGAAGGCACAACTTTCGGTGCTGGAAAACCGTCTCGAAGCTCCTACATGCCCTTTGCGCTATGTGTTTTGGTAGCCGTCCGCACAAGGGAACGGATGACGTCAGTCGATGTCCATGGTGCAAGGTGCAGCCTCCCATTTCGCCGGGTTCTAAGAACCAAATATCACGAGGGCTTGTGCACCGGGGATACCGGCAAGACAATGGCCAAGTACCTAAGAATGATTCGATTCCCGCGGAAATTACCAACAAAAGGGATGGCTTCCGTCCACCCTGGTGCGAGACTCGCGGATTTGGTCCATCGCCCCTCAGCCCCTCGGTAGGGATTAGGCCTCGCATCTCACAAGCGCTGGCCGGACAGGGCGGCAGCGGCTTGTGGGTGTGCCAGTGCATCCTGCGACGCTCGATTCGCCAAGTGAAGGTAAGTTCAGTGTAAACCACTTATGTGGGGGAACAGCCCAACTGGCACGACACCCCCCCTTTTCAGCATTTCGGGGATCCTGTTGAAAGTGGCATATGGGTTGTTGCTTTGTTTCGGGAAGTTACCCTCCCGCTAATTCACATGGAACCTGACGTTTCTGGGGGTCCTGGTTTGGACCATTTTCCTGGGAAGTTGCTGGTGCTCCGTAGGGAATGACCCAGGTGTTGGGAACGAAAGTATGGATTCCCTGAAAGGAATCCATAGGTAGGAGATGGTTCACAGGGGTCATTCCAATTCTCATTCCCTGAGAACCAGCAAGCTTTGGACCACTCGAGAAAAATGCTGGGAGGCGCCAGGTATCCCAACTTCTACCTTGCCCAATGGATCTCTGAGCACCCGCAAGCTAGTTTTCCTTTGGGTGGATGGGTGTGTTTGTTTTCGGGGACCCCCCCAAAACAAAAAGCGCAACACTGCCGATGGACGAAATCCAGCAAACAATGGTTTCCCATGGCTTTAAAGCATTGCAGGATGTGTGTGTGTGTGTGTGCGTTTGTGTGTGTGTGTGTCTGTTTTAGATGGAACCCGACAGCAAGTGCCGGCTTGCAACCTGACGAAAACAGAAACAAAGCCAACAAAATACATGACGAGCGAACACCACCCAACCAGGGGGAAGCGGAAAAAAAAGAACGATGCGCGAAAAACAACCGCTAACTTCATGGAGAGAACATATCAATGTAGGGAACACATTGGGAGAATCAACTCACTTCCTGAGTGGATTGACCAAACACTGTCCATGTCAAAACATACCACTGGTCTTCCCAAATGGTAGAGAGTCCAGCAATTCGGGCAGAAAAGAACAAAACCAAACATGAGAAAGACATGATAAACAATAAATCTGAGTTGCCTAATTGGGGGAAGGACCAACCATGTGGGAAAACATGCGCAAAACAAAAGAACACTTCCTACGGAGGTGTTCCAACGGCCTCTTTGAGCACCCCCAAAATGAGAAAGGGCACTACTGGGGGACCTAGTGAAAACAAGAACCGACTTGCCAACAATACCCAACACTTACGGATTTCCAGTCCTAAAATCCAGCTTTTTGATGGTTTCTGTGAGTCTCAAGAACCGATTTGGAAGCAAGGGCCCCCCAAACAAAACAAGACACACCATGACACACCTACCTGAGTCAGAACGACTTGGCTCTCTTGACAAAATGGGTTACTGCCCCAAAATTGTGGTTGGTGGCTTCCCTTTTTATGGGTCGTTGCTCTTTCAGCCCAGGTACCCCCCACCCTCCCCCCCACCCAAAAACAACAATAAACAACAAAAAACAAGCGCAAAACACCAACAACAAGAACAAGACACAACTACCTAACAACACCGAAAACCAAGACAACAACACATAACCACTCGGGCGTTCGGCCAAGGTAGAAAGTGGTTGGCCACCTGGGTTATCACGCACTGATAACAAGGTGAACTCCAATGAACGGGAGACTTATAAGTGGGATAGAACCGAACGGTTACCAACAACTCACTACGGAGGAGGTCCTAAATTGTCAAGAGACGGCAAGGTGACGTCCCGTGGGACGCTGTGCACCGAACCCTCAAGCTTTAATACCAACCACGTAGAAAGGTGTATACGGACGATGCCGTTATAGCCGAACCCGTGTAAACGTTGTAAGGGAGAAGGAATGATAGTTACAACAGTAGTCCTGACAAATGCAGCGCAAGCGAAGTGTTTTCGCTCTCAATGCCGATCACGTATGTATGCAGTCACACATCAGATCTTGAACCTCAATTGTGTCTTGAGCCAAATGGCGATCAATGGAACTTGGGAAGCAACACCAACAAGGACCTCAGAACAGCTACCCAATTTCGGCACGGGGCCTAGAGGGTTTTAACATCCCCCATTTGGGTCGCATTGTTCATCATGCGGTCCAAACACCACAAAACGTTCCACTGGCCACGGCTTCAACTACGAAATCGTGTCGTGCATTCTTTTACTTGCTATCACTACACCGTTCATTCGCTGTGAAACATGCCGGGTTCGATTGTACGAAAAGTGAAACATTCATCCTCCAATCGAAGCACACATCCATATGCAGGTGTATATAATACACAATCGTCGCGTCATTTGACCACCAATGAACAATCCAGCTGCCGCATTTGCGCATCGCGCAGCTGTCATCCATAAATGGGTTGGCCGAAAAAAGTCCACCAGAGGCGCCTGCTCGCAATCGGTCTGCATAATTCCGGCAAAGAAACATCGGTGAGTAATCAATGCAAATCATAGCCATTCCAGATACCATGGACAATGCATAAATAATGAAAAGATATCATCTATAAGGTAATAGTTCCATCCATGAATATCCAGAGCGTCATAGTCATCGGAATATGTAACCATGTACACACCCAATCATCTTGGACACATGAATATAAATCATGACATAAGTCGTTCCACCGAAACAGTGTCGATGTGACGCAAGTAACAGATGGGGACTGACCCACATCGTACCGCAATCAGCATCTTCACGAAGCATACCTGTCCCCAATGGACAGCCTATGGGTACGTCGGCGGAACTCCTCGTCCAAGTTCTTCTGGGCTTCTCGTGCCCGGACACACTTCTTGTTGTAGTCCTCTGGCAACCAGTGCCCTTTCCGAAGGCACCAATCCAGCAGGGGTGTGTCGCATTTGTTCGGGTCGATGGCCGAGATGATGGCGCTCACGTTGACCGTGTAACCATCTTGCCAAGGTTCAGGCCATCCCTCACGAATGATATATACTTACAGTTGAAAGCTAGTGCAAAACATCTGAAAATAATATCACCCACCGGGTGCACTCGGTCCTTGACCAGGAGCTTCATTTCTTCCTTGGTGACATCGAGGATTCTCGCTGCAATCCACAGCTTGTAGAATGTGTATAGTCCCTCGCATTTGTTCACCATCATACGAATATATTCGTCACGCTCCTCAACCGATCGGAAGGCTCTTGTCCGAACATTCTCCGATTGAGAAATCTTCGTTATTGTTGATGGCAAAAGTATACCTTCCTGATCGTGCTCAGTGATGTTGGGGTACCTCTTGAAATCATTGTGGTAAGGGCAGCCCTCTCTCCCCTCGAGCTTGGCATTCATCGTTCTCTCCTCACCACCCTCGAACATCCCCCACATCTTGGACATCTGGAGTGCGATAAATCCTGCCATGTACTGAGCCTCACGCGGCTCGTCAAGGCAGATCGCCATCCGTTGGGAACTTATAATGTCCCGTGACGCCAGATCGGTGTCGCGGTAATGCCAACCGCTGTCTTCTTCTTCTGACGCATAGCCGGATGTATATCCTTGCGTGTCCATGTCGTCATCTTCTCCCGGAACTTCCTCCGCTTCGTCTTCATCCTCCTGTGCTGCCGCATCGTGGTTAGCTTCTTCCTGTGCACGCCTGGCATCTCCAGAGACGTTGGGGTTTTGGTTGTCCTCCTCGTCATCGGATTTGATGTGAATGTAGTATCTTCCGATGGAGATCAGTTGTGCTTCGCATTCCAGGCATAAGCAGAAGCAGGTGGGGATCGCGGTCGCACATGATGGACATATCCGGCACCTCAGTCCTTCCCATGTCTCGTCATTCAGGATGACGACTTTGCTGATTTCGTCCCGGACCTCGTTGACCTGTGCATTGAACTCTTCCATCTTGTTGATTCGATAGAGTTCGCAGGCACGATTAACCATGTCAACGATGTAGTGCAGATTATCGGCACCTGTCTCAGTCTCCGGCATCCTCTCGCTGATCTTTGCGACGTTCTGGAGGAACATCGCAGCCGACTCTTGGGAAGAGTTGACAAAGCCAGGGCAGATCTCGTTCTCCACACACTTCGAGTACGCCCTCTTGATGTCAGCGTACTCCAGGCGCTTCCCTCCGTTGCTTTTGCCAATCCAAATGGACTTGACCTCATAGAACGGGATCACGTCAAAGACCATGAAAGTCCCATTAGCCGCGACTCCAGCCCCATACCGCGCGAGGGTTGCACTGGGAATATAGATGATCGCAATCGGATCCCCTCTCCTCACGTTCCGTAGCGTTGTCTTCGTCGCCACGTTCATCTCATCCCATGGAGCAAACGCCCCGAAGTGCAGTGCTAGCCTGTTGCCGCCATCGATTCCGCCGGGGACTAACCCACAGCGTACGATGCTTGGCAGGTTTTCCACATACGTCACATGGAATGCTCCTCCGAGAGAATCACCCATTCTTGCGGAATACCTATTCGCCAGTGCGGATGAGCTCATGAATCCAAAATCACTGTGACCGGTTGTGACTCGGATGCACCAAGGTCTGTACCATCCATCGCATCTGTTGAACATCCTGTCGATGTCGTCCCGATCCACGCCAGCTTCGGTCATTTCCTCCCTGGCTGCCCTCGTGTCGTTCGGGTTCATGATGCTCGGAAACCTTGCTGCCAAAACCTGGAATCTCGATTTTCTGCTTCCGGATTCCTGCCACTTGATCACCTCCATGATGCCCATGTATCGTTTCGCTCTCGTGGTGTATGGTGGGAATATGTCGTTGTTCCGGTCGTCAATGACAGCATCAATGTCGACCCATCCACCCTCGTCGCACCTGAAAGCACTTCCTCGGCAATTGCCGATCTTGTGTCGAAGGACTCTGCATAGGTCGTGAGATAGCTGGTTTGCTTGGTCCCTTGTAGTAAATACCGAGCGATCATCACCAATCCTGCATAGTGGAGCACCGTCGAAAGGAGCAATGCAGAAGTTGACACTCTTGCCAAGTTGCATCACGTCCACTTGCTCAAGGATTGCACCTTTGGGAAAGTATTTGGGGTCAACGATGGACGCATACGCCCATGGCAAGTGCACATCACTCACATCGCCATACTTCGGGATGTAGCACGGGATGGTGTCGCATCCCATCTCAAGCGTCTTCTTGAATGTCCTGTTGTCCCCGCACGGGTTGTAGGTGAGGTC